CATGGGGAATTCTGGGAGCTGAAGTCCACACATGTTAGAGTTGCAAAGGTTGAGAAACACTGCCATAGGAAGACTAGAACTACCTTCACTGAGATAGGCTGTAACATAAATGTGCAATTGTCTTACCTCTCCCACCTTCTTATACGCCCCTGGATCAGGGAGAGGCCTGCCCGAGGCTCCTGAATGTCTTTGTCTTCCCAGAAGATCCAGTCCTCTTTGTCTAGGTGACAATTCTGCATATTTCTGCCCATGCACCTCCCTTACTCACTACAAGCCAGAACAAGAAAACACCCGCATTTACAAAGGAGTGCTTTGATTTGAGAACGCGAGGCCAGCAGGCTATCTAGGGTATTTGACATCTGGAGCGGATTATTTTTTCACATTCCTGTGCTGCATCGTGATCGATGTGCTGGCAGGTCCGTCTTGCCGCCAACTCCGTACCCACCGGCACCCTTTCGATTGTCCCTTGGGGTTTCCAAGCTGTCAGGCAAGGCACTCCTTTATTCCCTGCAATCAGGCTGGATCACACCACGGCTCCATCTTTGCTATGCCCTGTAGGAGGCCACGATTTTCCAAGGAAGGATTTTATCCCAAACCCCTTGACCAGTGGACTTGTTTATCAGCCGAAGAAAAGAAGTGCTCCTAAAAAGCCCTAGTGTTTTTTTGAGGCCCTTTTCAGATAAGTAAAACAACCCACATAAGCAAACGTTTTAACTGCTTTGACGAGGTGTAATCAGCAACACTGTTGTTGTCACTGAGAGTGGTTTTTTAAGTTTGACTTTTATTTCTGGGAGCGTCAATTACATTTGAGCAGGTTTTTGATCAAGGCAATATCCAGATATACTTGAACGTTTTGTTTTTGGGCAGTTATGTATTGATCAACAAAAGTGCTTTTAAGTTGCCCTGACTGAGAAGCAAATGATTATTTTGACTCGTCGTATGACAAACATTGTAGGTGTATATTCAAAATACATCAGGCCCATTTTTTCCCCTTCACTGGCACTTGGGAATCCATTTCAACCCTTTTTCTGTTGCTTTAAAATCTGTGCTTCCTTCTATGCGGTTCTTTTTTGTACAAAGGCATAGCGATAAAAGAAAAAATCCCTTCTGAGTCAAGCTCAGCACGCTGGATTGAGTTTTGATTCCTTGGCTAAAGAAAACAGAATCTGCCCTTTTCACAGCAGCCACACAGAGATCTCCTTTTTTTTTTTGGAGTGCTCCTTATGCTGGTCCTTCACCATAATATAAGGACACGAAAGAGATGTGCGGCACAGTTAAGGAACGTGTGCCTCTGTGGGGATCCCTGCAATCTGGAGTGGCTTATGACTTCTGGCAGGAGATGGAAGAGTTCGCAAAGCATCTCAACTTTTCAAAAGGCAGCGTGTGGGGATGTCCCCGCAAAGAAAAGAGGGCACAGCTGGTTGGTCCGGCAACAGGCAGCCCTGGCTCAAACAGCTGGGATCGGGGTGCGGCAGTGGGCGACGGCGGTGCTTCCTGAAGTCAAGACGTCCTTCACGAGGGTTGATGTCAGGCTCTTGGGAGCGGACTCACCTGAAAGCAAGAGTCCTACAAAGTCTTCTTAACAAGATTTATTGAAAGGGTAATGGGTAAGGATACAGAAATTTCAGCAACTGGAATAGTCTCACTTAATTTATCTATAGTTCATTAGTGCACAGTGTTTCTCAACCTTGGTAGACCCTCGACGGGGGGGGCTCCACTTTCTCGAAACTCCTACCTCCAAGCTCCCTC